CAGGTATCCCTGTTTTTTCCCTCATTAATACCTGTGCATGGAAGCTTTTCCTGAGGGCTTGCAGCCTGGCCTGAGAGAATCCTGGTTGTGCCATCTCATCTTCTCCTTTTTCTCTCTTCTTTATGCCCCTCCACGTAGCCTTTCCACCCTCCCACCTTCTGGGGTCTGAAAGGGGGGAGAGATGGATGCTCTCTTGAGAATTGCTGTTCTCTGTGTGGGATGACAAGTTCAAAAGACTCTTCTGCTCCCCTCCCTCACTGTCATGACTTGTCAGTTACATGGCCCACAGTTTTATAACAGCACGGTCTTAAAATGTTCCTTCTAAGTTTAATTTCTCTGCTTGTAGCCTTTTAAGGACGTGAATTGGCTTTAAGCAGTAGATTCCTTTTTCTACGGTCATGGGAGCCTCTGTAAGTCTGCTACACCCATCCCACACACAGGTCTGAGACTTGTCTGTTTCCTTTTCCCCTAAAACCTTAAAATATATTTTAAAGAAGTGATTGCACTGTAACTTATTCGTATAAACCTTACCCTCTACCCCCCTTCATAGACTTCCTTACAAGAATTTGCTAGCTATTTCCAAAAGGAGGTCTGTATCTCTATTTTAAAAGTATAAATCCTGTCTTAACTTTGGAGAACTGATTTGGCTTGAGTTTTTCTCAGACACGGGAACTTTTGACCTAAGGTCAGTTTTTTAGATGATTGAAAGAGACCCCTGAGGTCCCATGGAACATACTGATTGAAACTGGGTAAAGTTCCTAGTGTGGTACAGACTCCTACCTACTAGTCACGTAAGCTTAGATTTGTGTTCCTTATAGTAGATAATCTCTAAGGTATGCTTTGATCCCATTGATTAATAGTATTTGCTAATATATGTAGAACAGTTATTATGCATCTGGTACTATTTTTAAGTGCTTTCCCCCTTAATATAAGAGCTTTGTTGAGATATAATTTGCATATTGTATAATTCGCCCTTTTAAAGTGTAAAACTCAATGGTATTTAGTATATTCACAGATATGTGTAACCATCACCACAGTCAATTCTAGAGCATTTTATCTCTCCAAAAGAAACCCTGTACCCATGGTAGTCACTCCCCATCCTCCCTGCTCCCTCCTAGCACTGGGCAACTACTAATCTAATTTATGTCTCTATAGAATTGCCTGTTATGGATATTTCATATAAACACATAATATGTGATCATTTGTGATTTGCTTCTTCCACTTAATGTTTTCAAAGCCCATTCTGTTGGTGGTGGTATCAATACTTCATTCCTTTTCATGGCTGAATAATATTCCACTGTAGAGATTTATCACATATTATTTATTTACTCATCAGTAAATTGACATTTGGACTGCTTCTACTTTTCTGGCTATAATGAATAATGCTGCTATGAACATTCTGGCACAAGTTTTTGTGTGGACATATATATATATATTTATTTATTTATTTTTTAATATTTAATAATTTTATTTATTTTTTTGTTACAGATATTTTACCTTTTTACCCCATTGGCACCCCCACCCCACCCCCCCTCCACCCTTTCCCCGGCTTAGTTGTCCATGTCCATTGGTCATGCATACATGCATATAAGTTCTGTGGTTTATCTCTTCCCAACCCCCCCCCCCATCCCCTCTTCTGAGGGATGTCAGTTTGTGCCCTACTTCCATGTGTCTGGGTCTACTGTATTCCTCAGACTGTTATGTTCATTATATTCCGTATATAAGTGAGATCATGTGGTATTTGTCTTTTTCTGCTTGGCTTCTTTCACTTAGGATAATACTTTCCAGGTCCCTCCGTGGACATATATTTTAATTTCTCTTAAATATATACTTAGATGAAGAATTACTGGGTTATATGGTAACTATTTAACCTTTTCAGGAACTGCCAGACTGTATTCTAAAGTAGCTGCACTATTTTACATGTTAACCAACAGTGTATGAGGTTTCCCAATTTCTCCACATCTGTCTTTTTGGTTATCGCCATCCTAGTGGGTGTGAAATAATATTACATTGTAGTTTTGATTAGAATTTTCCTGATGGCTGATGATGTTGAACATGTTTTCATGTGCTTATCAGCCATTTGCATATCATCTTTGGAGAAATGTCTATTCAGATCTTTTACCCATTTGTAATTGGGTTGTCTTTTTATTACTATAGTATATATTTTGTATTTTTATTATTGTTTTCAGAGTTCTTAATATATCCTAGAAACAGATCTCTTATTGGATATATGATTTGCACATATTTTCTCCCATTCTGTGAGCTGTCTTTTCACCTTCTTGGTGATGTCCTTTGAAGCCCAAATATTTTTAATTTTGATGAATTCCAAACTATCTGTTTTTTTCTTTTGGTTGTGATTTGGGTCATATTTAAGAAAGCTTTGCCTAGTCCAAGTCACAGAGATTTACTCCTGAGTTTTCTTCTAAGAGTTTTATAATGTTGACTCTTACATTTTGAGTTAATTTTTGTGCATCTTAATTCTTTTGCATGTCAATATTTAATTGTTCCAGCACCATTTATTGAATTAAGGGTTTTTTTTTTTTTTTTATGCCTAACTCATTTCATCTTTACAGTAGCCCTTTGAGGTAGGTCCTGTTAATTTCCTCAGCGAGGAAAGGGTTAAGTGTCTTGTCCACGTTCACCCAGGTGATGCATCGTGAGGATGGGGTTTACCCAGGCGCTTTGGTCTCAGCGGCCATGCTTTCGCCGTGAATGAACTCTGCCACCTCGCTCCTTGTTTTCTGTCTACCTGGGTCAGGAAAGAACTGCCTCACAAACAGTCAGTCAGTCATACAGAGAAAACATTTTATTTCTTATATGTTGTGGTTATGCTGAAATGCTTCTGCTTTCTTAATTTGTCTGTGGTTGGTGAATTCAGTTAGTTGTACAATTGGTTCACAGTTTCCAATCCTAACAGTTTGGTTACAAGGGCTTTATCATCTCCCTCACACCCTAGTCAGTAATATTTAGTCTTAGTCATCAGAGATCAGATTAGGGGGAGGATGACCATTACCAGTTCTGGAACATCACTAGACCACACAACTTCTAGCAGTGGTGGGCCAGGAGTCCCATTTCCCTCCCACAGTCGAAAACGGAATCTTTCGCTTTTCTAAAGACTGTTTCCATTAAGAGCACTAGACTAGGAACAGAGACCTCACTCAGTTCTTGTTCAGGGACTGCTGCTTGGTGGACCTGCAGATTTGTCCTATATTTATGTAATTTATTTGTTTGTTTGTTTGTTAATCTTCACCCGAGGGTATTTTTCCATTGACTTTTTTTTTAAGAGCGTGGAAAGGAGGGAGGGGGAGGGGGGAGAGAGACAGAGACAGAGAAGGAGAGAGAGAAAGAAACACTGATGTGTCTGTGAGAGAGACACATTGTTTGGTTGCCTCCCCACAACCCTGACTAGGGCCAAGGGGCCAGGGATTGAACCTACAACCCAGGTACATGCCCTTGACCTGAATTGAACCCGTGACCCTTTGGTCCAAGGGCCAATGCTCTAACCACTGTGCAAAACCGGCCAGGGTGACCCCTCACTTTATCATAACATTTTCTGACTCAGTCCATTTGTAAGACTTTCATAGGAATAAACAGATATATGAGTAATATGATAATTTTTTAAAAAAATCTGAGTCTATAAAATTTTTCATAGTCCTTTTCAAGCTTCCTTAGTGATTCATCTTCTTGAATGGCCCAAGTAGCCAATATAGAGAGGAACAGAATTCTATTCAGTCAAGTTTTCACTTATCCCCATCTTCTGTGAGGTGATTTCCTTTGGTCTCTGGGGAATTGTCTTGGCCACTTGATTTGTCTTATTTTATATGACTACCACTGCATTCAGAGAAACAAGCCGTGTTCCGGTGTAACAGAGCAGATACTGGTACCACCGTAGCTTGTGGTAAAATGGACAAAGCCAAGGTGTGACTGATGTCTTTCCCACCCATGGGCTGTAAATGCCCTGGAAGAGGGACTCTGTCTCTTGTACTCAGTTATACCCCAGTGCTTAGTGTGAGAGAGGAACCTTCAAGGACATTTCTACAGAGGTCAAGTACAGAGTCATACTGTATTTCAAATAGGATAATGTTTAGTGACTATTCTCTTGTTTTAAAGCTGGTAGTCTTTTATTTTAATAACTAAGGGATTTGGTAGCAAGGAGAGAGAAAGGGACAAGCCCGATATATAAATTACTGTGGTTAGTTAGGGTGACGTTTGATGTGCTAGTTTCATTTTTCATAAAAGGCGGAAATCAAGAGGAAGGAAGCAGTGCTGTAGATGTAGAGAGGAGGGTGAAGAATTTGAAGGCTGGGAAGTTTAATTAGTAATAATGCCACCCCATTTTCAGATAGCTTTTTATATTTATATTGCATTTGGCCTGAAATGCGGCACTTACACAACCTAGAAAGGCAGGCCAGGCAGGTGGAGCCAGCCTGACTCCACAGATGAGGAAGCTGATTCAGAGTCGGGAATTTACCACATCTTAAGTCGCCTGTAGATAGTGAGGTTGAAACTTGACTTACATCTTCAGACTTTAAGTTTAGTGTTTTTCTTATGCCTGTCACCCCCTCCTAGTTTTCCCAAACAACCATCTTGAGGGGGGGGGAATGGGAATTTAAATCTAATTAGATAACTTTTTATCTGTTCTTCTCATTAATCTAGCATGGAGCTGGAGTAAATATAATACCCTTTTTTAAAGAACCAGTAAATAGCTGTCCCAAGTAAGATTTATCTTCACTGGGATTTTATTTCATGAAACACTGATGAGGTAACTGTGAAAGCATGCCATTGGCATAATGAGTCACTTTAACTGTCTAGCTTTGCTGGGGGCAAGAGAAGGCAGAAAATTGGGGAATTTTTTTTAATATAGTGAGTTCTGGGTTGAGCAACCTGCTGGCTACAGAACTGAAATAATGAAGTCAGTCTGTTCTGATGCCCATGTCCTGCAGCAGGAGGGAAGATTTCTTCTCTGCAGAATTCATCATTTTCTCTTCTTCTCTTACCAGGTTTTGAAGGCAGCACCTGTGAGCGGAATATTGATGACTGCCCTAACCACAGGTGTCAGAATGGAGGGGTTTGTGTGGATGGGGTCAATACCTACAACTGCCGCTGCCCCCCTCAGTGGACAGGTATGTACAGTGGCACATCAGCCAGGCCGGGGCGTGGACTGGTAACCAGAGACAGGCTGTTATTGAAGTAGGCACCTTTCACTAGGGTCTCTGTGCTAGATCATTGTGCTAACCGTCTGTGTTCTCCTGTGTTCCCTTAAAGAAATCCGTTCACAGGTATTTACTGGGCGGTTGCTCTGAACTCAGCACCGTGCTAGGTGTTATGGCAGATATGAGAGAAGAGCATTACTGGTAGACTTGGAGGTTATCTGGGAAAAGCAGCACATTGCCTGGAACATAGCAGATGCACAATAAATATTTGAGAGGAAAAGAACATGCTTATGTGCAAAAATATAAATGTTTTTTACTACACACACAGATGGTAGTTATGTGAGGTAATGGATGTGTTAACTAATCTTATTGTGGTAATTATTTGCAACATATATATATATATATATCAGATAATCACATTAGGTACCCTAAACTTACACGATGTTATATATCAATCATATCCCAATAAAGCTGGGGCAAAAACACTGCAACTTGTCAAGTTTGGTGTAGTATCAAAGAATATTCATAATTATATGAAAAGGCTTTTAGAATACTCCTCTTCCAACTTAAAAACAACAACAACAACACTACAAGTTATAGAGACCTCAAGAGTTCAGAGGATTGTTTGCTCACACACAGAACTCGGTCCCGTCTTACTGTTGTGTCCTATAATTATGCAAAGGACTGGACAGATACTTTTGATACATTTTTATGACACCTATCTCTACTTTTTCCCTTTTTGTGTCCTTTTGGTACACAGGACAAAATAGACTTTGTTTTGCCTCTGATATTAGAAGAGTAGTCTTGCTTAATTTTACAACTTCTTGGAGGTTTCTGATATTGTCTTAGGCAGAAGTTTGTCTATTGTCAAACTTCTGTTTGAAAGTTAAGTGAGTTTTTGCAGACATTTGGATCCAATTTCTGTTTATTTATCTAACTGAAAGTAGAGGCATTTAAGACCTGATTAAGTGATTAAGAACTGAGCCCCTTGGAGAGAAATTGATTGGTTTACTGTGGAAACCCAAGAATAACTTACAGTGTAAGGCAGAAACTACAATACCAGTGAGGGATGGTGCCCAGCAGAGAAGTCTTGGTTTTGGATTGCTGCCAACACTACCTGATATTTAGTACCACGAATTGCTTCCCCTTATCTGTAGCAGCTAATTATTTAGAGTACTTTTTAGAGTTGTAGACTATGAATAAAAAAATAGTTAAAAGGGTTTTTTAACTTCAATAACATGATTTCCTGGAAAGGCACACATTTCTGCTTTTAATCCCCAAACTGTCCTTTTTTAATACTTTCCCACTGGGTTTCCTAGAATTGGATTTCCCCTAGAATTTCTTCTGTCTTGATCCTAGGACTTCACTCCCAACACTCTGCTCTTTCTGTCTTTCTCTCTCTAGCTTTTGCCTTTTCTCTGGTAGATTTTTCTAAGGCCTTTTTTTCCCCCCCAACTTAAAAATTACTATGCTCCCTCCCCCATTCCCTGCCACTCTCTCTGAAAAAGTCAATGGAAAAACATATCTCGGTAAGGATTAACAACAACAAAAATTACTATGAAATTTATTACATGACAGTAACTGGAAAGATTTGAATTTTTTTTCTCCTTAATGTCCCTCACAGTGGGTAAGTTGCTTGTGAGGACTTGACCATGTCCTCCTCTCCCCCTAGACCTGTGTGGGAGTGACTCTGTGTGGCCTCAGGCTTCTGATGCTAGTCAAGATGAAATGATATTGTGATGTCGTTGCTGATTTTCCATTGATACTGCACTCAGTTTCCTGCTTTGACATTAATTAGAAAGACCCAATCTTGGGGGAAACTTTCCTAGTGAAATGATAATTTACCAAAATTTCTGACCCCAGGATGTTTAATAAATACCTCTTTTCTGTGAAGACGTTTCTTTCTCTATGTGTTGTATTTCTAGAAAGGATAGCAGAAATGATGGGTAAGTTCAGTGTGGCCATATCTAATTATTATGTCATTTAAAGTGAACCTCAGTCTTTGGTTTCTCACCACCATTTTCCTATATGTCTCTCCTCCAAATTCTTTGACTTCCATTGGTGACCTTGTTTTTTGCTATTTTCATCAGCAACAGGATAAAGTCCGAGATTCTTCTTCTTCATATGAGTGAATTCCTTCCTGGCCCCAGCCCTGTCTGCTTCTCCAGGCTTTTCATGTATCCAACAGTACTTCATATTCCGGCAATAAGAACTATTTCCAGTTCTGTATCTACCACATCCTGTGTCTCTGTTTATGATGTTCCTTTTCTCTGGATTTCCCTTATGTCCTCCCTGCTTTTTACCTGCCTGGCTCAGGTTAAGGGGCTGCCTCCTTCAGGAAGCAGCCTGACCCCTTTTACTCCTCTCCAGGCTAAACCCAGTGTTCTCCTCTGGGCTTGCTCCCTATCCCACACAGTCCTCTGTGATAATGTTCATCACATGAACATTGGCATTGTCGTATGCCCGGGGTGTGGGAAGTATCGAGTTACAGGCTGGTAGTACGTTCTATAGATGACATCAGTTCCTAGAGCTCTTTACAGACCTATGTTCTAGTAGCATGTAGCTGACCTGTTACCATCCAAGCCCCCACCTCATTATAAAAATAGAAAAATAATTTGGAGTCTTAGGGTTCCTGTTTCTATTGATATTAAAGCTATAAATTCAGATTAGTATTTTCTGCTTTATACAAATTAAAGGAATGACTGGGGCTGGGAGCTGGGAGTTAACTAATGTTTATTAGCACCCAAATACAGTGCTAATTGCAGTGTTTTATTCTGTATAACCTTTGCAATAATGGTTTTAGGAGTAGAGTTTGTTAAATATCCTTTTTACAGATGATGATTGATCTTGGAAGGGGTAAACAGTTTGCTCAAGGCACAGAGTGGTTGGGCTAGAGTTTGAACCTAAACTTGCTGAACTCCAAGTCAGCCTGTGGTCTTTTCCTGTACAAATTTACTCTATGGGTATCTTTTAAATTTTTTAATTTTATTTTTAAGAACTTTGATTCTTTTTAATTGATTGAAAGTTCAACTTATAGTTACATTATTCTAGGATATGGTGATTTACTCTTTGTGTTTTTCCGTTTTAAAAGTTTATCTAGTTACTTTGAGGTTAGAAGTTAATATTAAGTGAATATTTTATATTTAGTCTGGTGGTTTTTTCATTATATCTAAAAGCTTTACTACAACTTTATTCATAATCCTCTTTACAATTTCCAGCTGTAGAGTTTAAGCATGAACTGTTTGGTCTGACTTTTGACAAAATAGACTTTTTTTTTTGTTAATCGTCACCTGAGGATATTTTTCCATTGATTTTTAGGTAGCATGGAAGGGAGGGAGAGAGAAACATCAGTGTGAGAGAGACATATCGATTGGTTGCCTCCCACACAACCCAGACCGGGATTGGGGTTCAAACCTGCAATCTAGGTACATGCCCTTGACTGGAATTGAACCTGAGACCCTTTGGTCCACAGGCCAACACTCTAACCGCTGAGCCAAATTGGCCAGGGCAGGCTTTTGACAAAATAGAAAAGGAAGGAGCAGGCTATTCGTTTAGGGAATGAAGTTTCCAGCTATCTGAAAAAGGATGGATGGGATTATATAGATGAAAAACCTAGGTATCAATTTGAAATAAATGGAGATTGGGGAATTTGCCATGTTTTTAATGAGAAGGGCCTGATACATACTGTGTTGTATGTACACATGCATAGAAACCTTGGTCTTATGTAGCAAGTTTTAGACTTCAGATGACCAGAGCTTTTTTCCAAGTCTATTTATGGTTTGATTTCAGGTGAATGAGTCGGCTCTCCCACCCCACTTAGTTTGGGAAGGTTTATTTGCCATCTATGGAACTAATACCTCTTCGTTACTATTGGGCTTTTGAGCAAATATATGGTGCAATAAAAAGCTTTCAGAGTTTTTCATTTACACAGCAAATAATTATCTTATAAAACATGCTAGATTATGCTGTCTGATGTGGCAGTCACTAGCCACCTCTTGATAGTCAGCACCTGAAATGCGGCTGGTCTGAAGTGATGTGCCACAACTGTGAAATACCTGATTTTGAAAACAAAGCAAAATAAGTAAAACGTCTCATTAGTAATGTTTTAAATATTGATTAGATGCTTAAATGCGGTTTTAGATATATTGCGTTAAATAAAATATAACATTAAAGTTAATTTTACCAGTGTCCTTTCCCTCCTTTTTTTTTTTTTTTTATCCTCACCCGAGGATATTTTTCCATTTTTTGTTCAGGTAGAGTGGGGGGGGGGGGGGAGGGAGAGGAACAGAGAGAGAGAGAGAAACATCGATGTGAAGGGACACATCGAGTGGCTGCCACCCGCACAACCTACCAGGGCCAGGGACAAACTGCAACCGAGGTACATGCCCCCAGCGGGAACCGAACCCGGGTCTCTCAGGACCGCAGGCCGACGCTTTAACCGCTGAGCCAAACCGGCCAGGGCTCCTTTCCCCCTTTTAAAGTGCTACCAGAGCCCTGGCCAGTTTGGCTGAGTGGTTGGAGCGTCGGCCTGTGGACCAGAAGTCCCGGGTTCGGTTCCCACTAGGGGAAAGTACTAAAATAAAATAAAGTGCTACCAGAAAATGTAAAATTACCTCTGTATCTCTGAGATATTTCTAGTGGACACGCTACTTTCGTTGCAGAGATGTTCTGTAGGTATTACTATTGCGGCTACTTGTGGGTGTGTCCTCTCGGATCCTGGTGGTGGAGGGTGGACTGTAGCTGTCTGTAGAGGGGCCTGTGTTAGCTTCACCAGAGGGAAGCATGGCGGCCGTTTCTGGCGTGGTTTCCGCGTCAGTGGTGGGCAGAACTGTTTTTTGGCCCGACATAGAACTTTTTTACCTGACGTAGCTGTGTAGACTGGTATTAGTTTGTGCCTTCAAAAGCTACCCCCCTTCCTGACGAGCTAAAACCCAGGTAGAAGAAAGAAATGGAATTGGGGTTGGACAAAT